CCCACACCACCCAAAAAAAAAAAATCCATACACATTTATTGAGCACTTACTTTGTGCTAGGTTCTATGCCACACACTTGATGTAACTCCTATCAGCCAGCAAAACTCCATGAGGTGCAATGGATTATTATTCCCTCCTTCTAGATGAAGAAAGTGGGATCAAATGAAAACTACACAGGCTGGCCAGTCACCAGCGTAAATCCTGGCAAACCTCCCTGGCTGCAATGCCTCCCAGCAGGGGTTCCTGGAGGACAAATGCCAGGGGCTCCTTAAAACCCTGAGGGAACACGTGGGGGTCTGCTCAGCAGCACTTCAAAGGGACTTGATCCAGTACAGCAACCCAGGTAGGAAACTGACCTGTCACTGCTCTGGGAAATCCTCCAAGACCCAGGTGCCCATGGGAGTGGGAGGCAAGCAGTTTAAGGGAACACAAGGCCCAGAATCCTCCCTGAGCACCCCTCCCTGCTTGGGGGCCCCACCCCTTGGCTTGGATGCCTTAGCAGCTTGTGGTTTTCCCACCCTCCAGCCCTTCCCTACCACTCCCCAGCCTCAAGGATCCTTTCCTCTGAAGCCTGGGGGAGGGGTGTCCTCCCAGTACATGGCCCACTGAGGTCTCCAATAACCAGCCTGATGATAATAACAGTCACACCTCAGCATGCCTGGCCCATGGTTAAGGACTCAGCAAGTGACCGCCCCCTTCAACTGTGACCTCCTAAACAGCAGGGCTTTCATAACCACTGTCTGCTGTCATGAATGTGGAATTCCAGAGCCAAGAGGCAAAAGCCCAAGAGCAGGCCTGCAGGTGTCCTAAGCTCCTGGCCCCTCCATCCTGCCTACCACTGGTCAGAGAAGAGGAGAAAAGGGCAGTCACCTAGCCCCCTCCTCAGAGCCTCCTGGGCTGAGCCAACACTTACCCTCCCTGGAAGGGGAGGAGAGTATGAAGATAGTGGGGCTGGGCAGTGGGGAGGCCTAGAGCAAAGGTTCCTATCTTGGGCTTCTGGTCTAAATGAGATTCTCCAGACCAAGCCCAAGAGATCCTGGTGTGCACTGGACTGGCCCCAGGCTTCCCTGGGCATGGGCCACGCTTTCCCCTGTAGGACATTGGCTCCTTCTTGGCTTCTGGCTGTGCTGACTCACATCACTTTCCAGAGGCCTACCCACCTCCCTAAGTCAGTCAGGACTCCATGTTCTCCCCTTAGCATCCCGTCCTTGCCCTCACAGTCTCAATTCCTCCTCTAACTATACTCCAAGGCCCTCTGCAAAGCAGTGATTCCACACCAAGGACAAGGACTGAGATCAGAGCGTTTATTGCAGGAATCTGGCCATGGTTCCACGTGGGTGGCTCCAACTGAGGCAGGGCTGGGGCCTCTGCCCACGGCTTGGAAGGTGAGACCTGAAGGGGCAGAGGGAGTTCATCTGGCCAGAACTCAGAGCTGTGAGAAGATGTTTGGGGCTAGGCTGCAGGTGAGGCCTGTGCCATCTGGTTCCACATTCAGGGCCTTCACTATGCCATCCTCTATCACCATAGAGAACCTGCCAGAAAGAGGGGACAGGCCAGGGGACATCAACCTGATGAGACAGGACCAGGGCCCTATGGAAGACCCACAGAGACCCTCCCACTGTACCTCTTTAGCCGGCGGTTCCCAAAGAGGGGCACCAAGGAATCATTTAGTAACAGATCTGTCTCCTAGGGGAAAGGTTGAAAATACATCAGGAACCTCCAGAACAGGACACGGTCTACTCCCCACACCACATACCCCTCTAAGTCCTAGCTGTAGGGTGGGGTGACGGGGCGCACTCACCTTCCCAAAGGCTCCAGTGGGGTCAGCCAGGAGCCGAATCTGAGGGACAGAGAGTAAAGGTCACAACAAAAACCTCCTCTCTGGCCCGAGCCCCTGCAGGCCCCACACCTCACCTTGCCTTCTGTTTTGTTGGCTCGACCCCACTCTCCAACCACGAAGACATCGTTAACACTCAGGCATGCCACCACCTGTACACCTTTGGCCTTCAGTGCCTCAGCCTGCTCCACATACCCAGGCAGGTGGGTCTAAGAAGGAGAAACAAAAGGTCAACAAAGGAATAACCACATGCGCTCTTCAACCCACCCTTCATTTTCCTCATTTTTCTGACCAACACTTCTGTCCAGGCAATGAGAATGGTGTGAACCATTCTATTTCCTTTTTGCCTTGGCTACTCCGATCAAAATGCCTTGTGGTCAAGACCATGAATTCCCATGGGCAGACTATGCCTCCACTGCCTGAACCCTAAGTACCTTCTATACAACTTGCCACAAGCAGTTCTAACAAGAGGTGTTGGATTTAACTGCAGTCCTTTTCTTCAAGTATTTTTGGCACTGAAATACATAAACTGTCACATCCCTTGGGACACATGGAAACTTCAGAGCAATAAAAAAGATCCTAACCATATATCCTGGGAAGGGGAAGCCTCACCTTGGAACAGCCAGGGGTAAACGCCCCAGGGACTCCAAACAGCACCCCCTTCTTGCCCTTAAACAGCTCTGCCAGGTTCACTTTGTTCCCAGGCTCCCCTTCAAACACGTTCACTGAGGGGATGGCATCTCCCACCTGGAGGCAAGAACTCTAAGGTAAAGGGGGGCCAAGACAGGTACAGCAAACCCCACCTAGGGGGAACCCAGAGCCTGGTGGCTGCAGAAGCCAGTGTTGAAACCCTGTCAGTTTCCAGGAGTCCCTCCCTATCCCCTCCCTCATGCCACCTAGTCAGTTCACACCATCCAGGCTTAGAGGCCCTGCTCCACTTACTGACCCATTGGTGACAACAGGGAAAGGGAGCCGCCTTCTCAAGAGCTGCAATCTTGTTTAAACAAGCTGCCTGGAGAGGACTGAATGGGTAAGGGAGGGGGGACAGAGGTCTGTATTGGGGATGAGGAGGCCCTGACAACAGGGAGAGAAGAGATCCTGGTCAGGTCTGATTGCCCCATCTACACTGAGAAAGGAGGTGGAAAACCAGGGATGATGCCCAGCCCCAATACCCAGAGGTAGAGAGGAAGAACTCTCCCCAAGAGGGCAAAGTCAGTCTATAAGGTTTCCTGGAGCCCCAGGAGGGGCAAAGGAGGAGGGGCTGTCACTGAGGAGCCAAGAGGCTGAAGATGAAGTAGAAGGTAGAGGGGTTCAGAAGAGGGTAGGAGGGGGAAGGGCCCAGAAGCTTCCAGAAGATGGGTGAAAGTCTGTAGGAGAACGGGGGAGACAATCTGGGGGCTCCAAGGGACCACAGCTGTTTCAGGTGTGAAGTGGGCCCAGCACTGCCACAAAAGAATGGGCAGAGTGCAACAGAGAGCATGTAGGGGGCTGGGAAAGGGGCCCTAAGGCAAAAGAGATGCTTGTAGAAGGTGAGGGATAGTTGGGCACCTGGTGGCTCACACCTGTAAGCCTAGCTACTTGGGAGGCTGAGATCAGGAGGCCAACCTGGGAAAACAGAGCTCGAGATCCCATCTCCAAAATAACCAGAGCAAAAGGGACTGGAAGTGAAGCTCTGGAGGTGAGGCTCAGGCGGTAGAGCGCCTGCTTTGCAAGCAAGAAGCCCTGAGCTCAAAACCCAGACCCACCAAAACAAAAAAAGAAAAGAAAAAAGAAAAAGATGAGGGATATTATGACATTCAAATGCCTGAAAGTGGTGGGGACACGTCACTGGGTGTCGCACAATGGATGTGAGCGGGGGTGCGAGGTCCCTAAAGTGGGCGAGAACCGAGAGGCAGCCCAGGGGTCTTGCTGAGTGGGTGAGAGGGACAGACGGGAGGGCCTTGAGGGAGGCGGGGAAGGGTTCGGAGGGCAGGTGAGAGGCGACACACGCAGACTGGAGAGAGGGAGCTCAACCTTGGCGAGATAGGGAATAGGGTTCGGCCCAGCCGGGTCAGCGGTCACCTTGATCGGGGCCATGGCTGCGGCGGAGCTGCTGAAACTGCTGGTCCCACCACGCGCCCACCCTCCCCCTCCTTCCGGTCGAGGTCTTGCTGCCGCGAACTCAAAGGCAGCCTCACGAATGAGCACCGAGACTGCCCGGTTTCCCAGGACCCACCACCGGGAGAGTCCCATGCCCGCCCAGCTGGCGCAACCACTCCGCCCCCCTGCCGCGCAGTTGCTCCTCCGCCCCACCTCCAAAAGGTGGAGCCTCAGCTGCTCGGTCCCGGCGCGTCGCTCCCACTGCGCAGGCGTGGTCGGCAGCGCGCAGCGCGGAGATTCCGGGACTTTAAGCTCTTTTGCATTAAGGACTACAAGTGGGGCGGAGCTTTTAGCGGTAGCACAGCTAATTTGCATGCAAAGAGGAGGTGCCTCAGCGTTGATGGGTCTAGTTTACTGATGGGGCAGTTTCCATTCCTTAACCGAAAGTAAGGGACAGGAGACGATAGTATCAGGCCCCTGTGCAGACCTAAAACATGTTTATTTTGTACCCAACGAGGGCCTCTGCATTGCAGGTGTTTTACATATTATATGCATTTTACGTATGATTTACAGCCAGTAGGACTTGGCATGCGCCATAGGAACCTACCGTCGAAATGCTTCCGGTAGCAACGTATGACCCGACAGGTCTTCCACAACCTCTGTTGCAGCAAACACAAGAAGGTCCAGCAAATTCGTCACTTCCTGTCTTTCGCCCGTCCAATAGCAGACTGAGCGGGTCCCGGAAGTGACGCAAACGGAAGGAGTCCTTTTTCCGTTTCCGTCCAGAAGAGCTTGCATACGGCAACATGAAACTGCTCACCCACAATCTACTGAGCTCGCACGTGCGGGGGGTGGGGCCCCGCGGCTTCCCCTTGCGCCTTCAGGTACCGGCCGGGAGGGTCTCTTCCCTCTTTCGGCTGGATAAAGAAGTAGGGGTCCCGGCCCTGCCTCACTAAACCTGTCCGCCCCACAGGCCACCGAGGTCCGCATCAACCCTGTGGAGTTCAACCCCGATTTCGTGGCGCGGATGATACCCAAAGTGGAGTGGGCTGCGCTTCTAGAGGCGGCTGATACCGTAAGGAACCTGCCCCGGCTCCTGCATCCTGGGGAACCCGGGTGGGCTGCCCCTTAGACCAGCCCGAAGCCTGGCTGGCGTCGGGGCGGAAGGGTTGTGTACCCAGAGTTGAGCTAGGTTTCTTGCCTACAGTTGCACCTGGTTGAGGTACCCAAGGAGCCGATCGAGGGGTATGAGCACGACGAGACATTTCTGAGGAAGATGCACCACGTTTTGCTAGAGGTGAGAAGCGACCCATCACCTGCTTCCCTACCCATCCCCCAAGGCTGCCAGTGCTCAGTTACGCTCCCCCACCCCGCAGGTGGACGTGCTGGAGGGCACCCTACAGTGCCCAGAGTCTGGACGCCTGTTCCCCATCAGCCGCGGGATCCCTAACATGCTGCTGAATGATGAGGAAACTGAGTCTTAACTGCACCAGCCACCAGTTTTGTATTTTGTGACCTTGTGTATCTTTGTTGATGTTCATTCACCACGTTTATGCCCCAACCATGACCCAGTGACACACGGTACACACGTTGTTCTTGAGCTCCATAGTATATTTTTTTTCTCATTAAAGGTTCAAAACCAAAAGCGGTTTCTCTTTGCAGCAAATATACATTAAAATAGAGTCTCTGTACAGCCAAGAGCTCTGGGCCCTGGCTTGCCCCATGTCCCTGCACCTCCCTGGCCGAACCCAAAAATAAATATAGTGTTATTGCTCTGCAGGGCATAGAGGCAGTGCTCCCCGCCCCCCGAGGAGGCTGGACAGGAGCTGATGGGGGGCCCTGGCCACCCCAGAAGTCCAGGGGCTGGAGCCTGCTTGGAGTTATTGCTTCAAGGGGGGGCATTAATGCCCGATGCAAATGATGAGGAGAGGAGCGAAGGGGGCAGGGGCCTTTGCTTTCCAAGTCCCCCTCTACTCTGGAGAGGGGAGTCGGATTAAGCAGCAGCAAAAGCATCACCCACTGGGAGACTTGTGGCCTCCATCCCCTTCCCTCCCTGAGATCAGGTTTCTGCCTCCCACACCTCCCCTGCAGCCCCTTATGGCTTCCGCAAGGCCCCCTACATTCTTGGGGGTACGTTATGGCTTGCAAGGGGCAGCACTGTGCCCAGATCTGGGCATTCATTCTCCCAGCTTCTGACACCCCCTAAGGGGGGAGGGGAGGGCATGGTGCCTGCTCCCAGGGGCTGATGGCATTGCCCTGGCCCTGCCAGCAGGCTGTGGCACTGCCCAGGCCCTAGCTCTGCCCCCTGGGGGCTGACCCCATGCTGGGCAGATTCTGCCAGCACCCCCACCCATCCAATCCCTTGCCTCAGTCCATCATGGCCTCGAGCATCTCCAAAAACAGCTTGTGCATGGGCACCTTGCCCTCCAGCTTCACCCCATAGAAATGAGCCAGGACTTTGCCCGCTGTCTGCCGGAGGAGCGGTAGTGTGAGCAGCAGCCTGCCTGCCCTCCGCCGCTCAGCACCCCCTCCAGGGCCAGCCCTGCCAGCTTCATACTCCAGCAGGGCCTCATGCAGAGCTTCTCGTAGCTGCTCCACAGCCTCAGCATCCTCGATGTGCACAGAGTCTGAGGAGAGAGAGAACTGATGATCTCTGGGAAAGACAGAACCTGTATCTGCTTGAGCTTTACTAGATGGGACCTGAGAGACTGAATACAGATTTACTGAGGGACCACTCGCTGCTCCTAGCCATAAGCAGGGCCCCCCCCTTTCTCCCTCAACTACAGCCACCTCTTGTCCTCCCCACCTTCCTTCCCGCTAAACTATTTACCTTTCCATGTTAGCACGGCACTAGAGCTCAAAATCCTGTGTGCGGTTCAGGGCCTGCCCTTGGCTTGCTTTGTGACTTTCAACAAGTCATTGTTCTTCCCTAAGCCTCAGTTTTCCTGATCTGTAAAATGGGACTGTACCACCATCACAGAGTCCACATTCAGAAAGCCTTTTGGAAAGACCTGTGGGTGCCTGCCCTGGGCTTACCAGAATTGGCAAGGGCCAGGGCCTTCAGCAGGACGTATTCCTCTCGCTCCAACCGCAGTGCCTGTAGTCGCCTCACTAGTTGCAGCAGGGCTGCCCCCAGCTCCCCCAGGCCAGCTGCTCGTGCCCCTTCTTCATCCAGGACCAGGTCCTCTGCAAAGGCCAGCTCATCCTGCAGTGGCAGTGAGCGCTGGGCCACACCCAGCACCAGCACCTCCATCCACACGCTCTGCAGTACTGACATCTGATCAGACAGCGACAGTGACGAGAAGCCTGGAGGGCAGTGAGGAGCAGGCCCGGCTGAGAAAGTGTACCAGAGCCGAGCACGGCCTGGCCTGCTCAGGGAAGCCCCAGGTCACCTGGGCCCTTTACCTGGGATGCTCTTGGCCCAGCTGATGGTGACCACAATCTCTCGGTCAAAGAGGTCACACAGGGTAGCCACAGCTGGGAGGTGTCCATCAGGGCCTGCCGGGTCAGGCATGGCATATAGTTTCTCAGGCTCAACCACCAGCAGGTGAGACACCAGTGCGTTCACTGGGGCTGCAGTGACAGGGGCAGGACTAGAGTCAGTCACAAGCACGGGGTCATGCAGGCCTCACAGGCCCCTCAGGGCCAAGTGTCTTCCCAGACAGTCTTCCTCTAGCCCTTGATAGCCACTGGCCAGCAGGAGCCACCTCCCTCTCAGGAGAGTGTGCCTTACCTCCCAGATAAATTCAGCCTGCTTGTGGACACCATTCCAAGTGTTAAACTCTCTCTTAGGATGAGTGAAGCTGGATAGAGTGCTCACCTAGCCCATGCTAGGGCCTAGTTTTCAACCAACACTAAAAAAAGCAAAAACCTTTCCCTGGGCCCAGCTGTTCTGCTTAGTGTCCCTCACATGAAAATATCTTCACAAGCTGGTTGCCAGTGGCTCATGCCTGTAATCCTAGCTACTCAGGAGGCAGCGTTCAGGAGGATCAACCGTCGAAGCCAACCCCAAGCAAATAGTCTGCTCTTAGGGAAAAAAAAAAAACAATACTAAAAAAGCTGCTGGAGTGGCTCAAGTGGTAGAATGCCTGCCTACCACTCAGGGCAAGCATGAGACCCTGAGTTCAAACCCCAGCACTACCCCCCCACCCACAAAAAGACATCTTCACAAATATTTCTGATGGAAACAAATAAGCAATGAAGGTGAAGTATGGGTCTAAGTACCCTGACTGATACTAGAAAGGGCCTCCTGTGGCTGCACCCTGACCCTAGACTCAGGGCTCTCACCTGTCTTCCGGGGACCTCCAGCTACCGCCAGAGGGCCAGCAGGGAAGGGGCCTGGGAAAGGCAGTGGGTCCACCTCTGGCCTCCGCTTGTACTTCTGTCGCCCACCCCGGACACGATCCAGGCGCACCCCTTTAATTAGGACAGGACTGCGTCAGTGGAGCAGGGTGGGCTTGTCTGCAGAGTTCCCCCCACCCCAAACCCATTCACCACAACTTCCCAGGCCTTGCCCCAGCCCAGCCCCAGCCCCCCTCAGTCTTGCCCTGGCCCTGCCCAGCGCTCACCCTCCTTGAGCATGCCCACCCGCAGGCACTTGGTGAAGCGGCAGGCCTGGCAGGCCTTGCGTCTCCGCTTGGTGATCTCACACTCATTGGAGGCCGGACAGCTGTACTCGATGCTCCCTGCCAGGAAGAGGCAGGGCTCCAGTGGCAGCCTCCTGGGGCCCAGAAGGGGCCCGTCTGACAGGAGAGCCCTGACTCGCCCTGGGCAAGCAATGGTCTGGGGGTGATGGGGAGGAAAGGGACAGCAGGATGCCATGAGCGGGGCAGGGAGTGGGACGGCTGTGGGTTGGGGGGGGCGGTCGACAAGGGAGGGGTAGGGCCCAGGTAGCCAGGCTGCATCTCTACCCCAAGCTACACCTCTGGGCCACACTGCGCTCATCTCTGGTCAAGAGCTACAGTACCCTCTACACTGCTAGATCCAATAGTCAATTGTGAGTCTTCAACTCACTAAACGGAGCATCTTCCACCATGGATTGTCCTACTCCTAGAAACACTCAAATGCTTTCTTCTAGGACACTGCTCTCCTGTCTTCCTCCCAATCTCTCTGGCTGTCTTGTGGTTTCTTCTCCCTGAGCTCTGTTCACTGAAGCAGCCCAGGAACTCATCCTCCCTCCTGTGGCTCTCTTACCCCAGTACCAGCGTCCAGATTTCTAAGTCTCAGACCTGGCCTGAACGCTCAATTTCCATATCCAGTGGCCCCCAGATACACCCCACCTGTCTGGAAGGCTTCTCAAACTATTATCTGAAATGGACTCTGACCTCCCCTCCCAGCCTCCTCCTATCCATTTGCTCAAGCAACCTACTGGCAAATCCTGAGGGGGCTTCACCTTCTGACCCACCCAGAATCCAACTCCTGCCCTCAGCAACTGCTTCCACCCTTGATGTGAGTCCCTGCCACCTCACCCTGCTGGCCTCCTGCTCTTGACCCTTTTCTCTCTGCACAGCAGCCAGAGGGATCCTGTTCCTCCTTTGCTCAATAAATACCAGCCCCACTGGTCCATGGCACCCTCACTCCCCACTCCCTTTTCTGACATCTGCTCCCTCCTCCATGTTTCTCAAAAGGGTGTGCTGTTCCTTGCCTGGAGTTCTAGTACTGACACCGCACAGGCTCCTTATCACTTTGGGGACGCCTTCCCTGGCCACCCTGTGACAATGCCAAATCTCACTCTGCAGGAACCTTAGGCCTCTGAGCCCTGCTTCCTCTCGCTCTTAGACCACCTAATATGCCACATGGTTACTTATTCACCTGTGTGTTCTCACTTGCTTCAGTGTCAGCTCTATCAGGCTCTACCAGGGCCTTGACTGTCCCCAGGGCAAGTAACGGCCTGGCACATAGTTGGTGCTGGTGGCCCTCCCAGCCTCACAGGGATATACCAACGATCAAATGACAACCAGCCAATGGGTCATGAGTACACTGCTCTCCATAGTGTGCTTCTGCCCACAGATACTCCTAAGGAAGCCCTAAAGAGCCCTGGACCCAGGCGGGGCTTTCAGTACATACCATGGCTATAACAGGACAATTCTATGCAATTCTTTGTTTCTCCCTACAGTGTCCCCAGGGCCTAGAACACTGGCCAGGGTGGCAAAGCACAGATTTCAAAGGGCTCTGAGGGCTGTCGGGGTCCACCTGATGCTAACATTTGTCATTTGTGTGACTTTAGGCATGTCCCATACCTAACTTACCCTTGGGCCCTCAGTTTTCCCAGCTGTAAAACTGGAATGATACAAATTATATTTGGGATTGGGGCTGTAGCTAAGTGGTAGAGTGTGTGCTTATCATACATGGGTTCAATCCCCAGCATCAAACAAATAATTGTTTTTATGGCAAACATGGGTTATGAGAATGAAAGAGGACAATCCAAGTAAAATATCTAGCCTGAGTACTTAAGTGCTCAATAAATGATTACTATGTATAGCTAGTATTTAGTAAATATTTGTCCACAGTCAGAATGAAGGGCTCCAGGGTGGGTGAGAGACAACTGGACCGGGCCTCACAGATCATCAGGCCAGCAGGGAGCACAGAGTTTTAGATCAGAGTGTTTTGGCCAAGTCAAAATTCACTAGAATGTCACAATCAGTGGTCCGAAGTCCAGTTATGAGTAATAAGCAGAGGCAATAATCTGGCTGGCACTTAGCACTCAGCTCTGGACCTATATCAAATGCCAGCTCTGCCATTTTCTACCTGTGAGACTGGAACAGAATTTCAAAAACCTCTCTGGGCCTCAGGTATGATAACGCTGACATATCACAGGGTTGCTGTGGGAAGCTAAGATCATAAAAGTAAAAGGGCGCATGGCAAGCACTCAAAAAAATTTTTAACCTGGGTGTGGTGGCGCAAGCCTGTAACGCCAGCATACAGGAGGCTGAGATGGGGAGATCAAGAGTTCAAGGCCAGCCTGGACTATATCAAGACCCTGTTCCCAAAGACGGGGGAAAAAAAAAGTGACTTTTAAGAGCAGATGCCTAACAATCTTTAAGTTGGGTGCTAAAATATAATGCACCCCTCTCAGATTCCCATAAAAGCCTACCTTGCATTGGGTGTTGCTCTGGAGAAATGCAGAAGAGGGAGCATGTTCTATGCTAGGGAGAGGGTGGCAGCTGCCAGAAGCAAGAACATTCCAAGAACAAAGTTTGGGAACAGGTATAGGCTGCCTTGAATTTTTCAGAACCACTGTAGAAGGTGCTGGGTTTACGGTACCAGAAATCTAGGAGACCCCTGCATCCTCTCTCACATTCCATCCCAATCCAGCAGTGGGCTTTTGGTGGCTTCATTTCATTTATAAGGGAAAAGGTGTTTCTGGGAAGCACAGGGGTCTGGGAACCCTATACTGGGCAGGCTCAGAACCTACTGTACCCAGAAGTGTAGCAGTTAGAAAGCAGCAGGCCCAGAGGGTACAGGCAAAGGGCATAGAAGCGGGATGGGGGCTCACCCTGGATGGTCCTCTTGAAGAAGGCTTTGCAGGCCTCACAGGATGCCACACCGTAGTGATAGCCAGAGGCCACATCCCCACAGACCAGGCAGAGGCGTTTGGGCAGGGAGCTGAGCACCAGCTTCCCACCACCCTGCTCACCAGGTCCAGCACCCTCCCCATCCTCCTCCTCCTTGTGCCCTGGGAGGCAGCGGGCTGGAGCTGGACCCGGAGCCAGGGTCACAGGAGGCTCAGTCTCTGTCTCTGAGGAACCTTTTGGACTGTCAGGGCTGGCTGGCTCTGCCTTGATGTAGAGAGGCTCGATGCCCACCACCTGGCTGGACATGGCGCTGGTCACCTGCAGGGAGAGGCCTTCAGGTCACAGGGAGGACTGGGACGGGGGATGGGAAATACCCTGCCACATGGGTTGCCCAACACTGGGCCTGAGCCAGGCTTCCAGGCTCAGCCAAGGGGAGGGAGGGGGACAGAGTCCAAGGAAGGGCTGGGAGGAAGAAGGCCCCCAGCTGTTGCCATGGGAACCGTCTCCAAAGCCTCCAGGGCCAGTAACTGACAGTGGGTCACCCTTTCCAGACCCTGGAGAAGATTGGAAAGCCTGGCTCCCACCTAGGTCAGGGAGCAAAGTAACCTCAGCCTCCAGGCAACCTTCCACCCCACCTGGAATCCCCAGCCAGAAGGACTTCCTCCAGATGTTGGGGGTTCCACAGTGGTCTCCCCTTATCTAGGTATTGTCTCTATTCAAGAGCACACAGACCGAAGGGCAGGAGACTACTCACCTGTGCATTCACACTCTCTCATCCCACTCACCTGGCTTCTCAGGTTGTCCCCACATGCCCACACATGCTCACTCTGCTGGGAGCTTTCACACTTACACACATCCTTTCCCAAACCCCAGTCCTTACACACGCCTCTAAAGCAAACTCACACTCAAGTCTCATCATCACACATTCTCACCAGGACCCCACACTCACAAACAGGCAAACTGTTGAGAGATCGTACACTCAGTCTCTCACCCCTGACACGCCACCCCCCTCCTGCCCCAGCATGCCCAGTCTCAGCCACACCGGCGGGCGCGGCTCCACCTCCTTGCACCCCGGGCCTGCATGCTCGCTCATAATCCCGCTGCTGCAGAGTCGGCCACCTCCGGGGCGCCCCGCCCCCCAACCTGCGCACACCTACGGGAAGTTGCCTAAAGTTGCTAGTCTCCCCTCCCCCTCACCCGCGGGGGACTTCTATCAGGTTATCAGGAAGTAAATGAGAAGAGCCAAGGAGGAAGAAGTTCTCCCCCGCCGGTGCGATGACCTTTGACCCAGAGAGAAGGGTGGCCCAAGGCCCCCTTGAGCGCCCCCACGTGGTCTTCAAAGCCCCTTCTCCAACACAGAACCCTCCCATCTTCCACCCCAGTCCGCCCTAGGGACTCCGGCTTGCTCCAAGTGCCGGATTGAACCCTGCCCCGGGGCTGCATCCGAGGCCCAAGGCTGACTGGGACCAAGAGCCAGAGCCAGACCCTGACCAAGGCCTCCCCACCAGAACCCAGACGCCGGATTTCGCCCAGACCCTGACCCCGTCTGGCTCTCGACCGGGTGCCGGCCGTGACCCGGGCGGGCCCTTGAAGCTGGACCCCGCCTGGAGCCCGCCCCCCGCCCGCCTCCCGACCGAGCTCGCACATGGCCCCCGCGCCCCGCCCGCCCACCCTCGCAGCCGCGCTCCCCTCCGCCCCCGGACCTGGGGCTCCGGCAGGGCTGGTGGGCAGGCATGGGGGCCGAGCGGCCCGGAATGCCGGGATGAGCCGGGGGCCGCGGGCGGCCCCTCCTCCGCCGCCTCCTTGGGCCGCGCCGCCCTGCCGCGCCGCGTCCCCTCACTCGGCAGCGCCGCTGGCTGCTTGTAGGACACAAAAGGACATCGCGGCCGCTTCCTACTCCGCTTCCTCCAGCTGACAGCGGGGGCGGGGCCGGCCGCGCGCATGCAAAGCAGGGGGCGGGGCCAGGCGCCCTATGTTAATCAGACAAGTGAGGCGCGCAGCGCCTGCGTGCCGCGAGAAGTCGGGGCGGAGCCAGCAGGCCCAGTAGGCGGGCCTTCTCCAAAGGTCCCGCCCCACTGCCGCCGAGCTTCAGCGGCGCACCAGCGTCCGCCACCGCCCAGGGGGCGGGGCCAGAGACTATGTACGGCTCCTGGAACGAGCTCGGAGGGGGTGGGGCCAGGAGCGCCCTTTCGTAACTGAGTCTGGGCAAGCTTTGCAGAAGAGGAATGGGCAATGTAGCTCAGTGGCAGCGGGGGCAGACGAAACCATATGTAAATGAGAGGGCGGGATAAGCAGAGGGGCTGGGTATCTGCATATGCAGAAAAGGGTAGTGCCTAGAAGAGAAGGGGGGCTCTGCCCTTACCCTAACTCCCCCTCCCCCAAGGTAGTTTATGGGACACCCGAACTGCCGACTCAATAGCTGTCCGAAACTGCGGAACCTCGGGCGGGAGAAGCCGACCTAAAACATGCAAGTAGCCCTGGATTGCGAGTCCATGGAAGGCAGGGACGATAAGACTCAGGACCGAGAAAACTCAAGGTCACTACGGTGACCGAATCAAGGTCATGGGGAAGGGCGGGGCCACCGGCGCCCGCCTCACGCAGCAGCCACGCACTGACTCACAGACCGTGGATAGATACTTTTTAATTTGTCTAGGGCTCAAGTCCCACGCGGATGGGGTTGGGCTGCCCCGTCAGGGCACGGGGCTGGAGTTGAGTGCCACTCTGGCCGGAGGCTCACTGGAACCTGCATTGCAGCCTCTTGCTCCGGCGCTTCTTGAGCCCCTCGATGTATCGCTGCAGCTCTTTAGTCAGGAAGTGGTTTTTGCCGATCCGGGACCGGTAGCCTAGGAACAGGGCAGAGCTGAACTTAGGGCAATAGCACCGGCAAGACCTCCCCCCAGCCCCCCAGACTAGCACCACATTTGTGATTTGAGACACCGCAGGTGATCTGAGTTGGCAGTAACGCTGGGCGCTTGGGTCTGTGTTAGTTTGGGGAGCTTTGGATCTCCAAGGTACGAAGTGGAGGATGGATGAGAATAAGGCCTGAAGCAGGGCGGTGGGAGTCAGCAGCTTTAAGGACATTTGGATCACACACTCTAATCACCTGCCCCATTCTCCCCAAATAACAGAGACCCGTCACAGCTCCCCCATCTGGAAGGAAAGCAAAGCCACACAATGGCTGTCATTCCATTCGGTAGGTAAAGAAACAGCCTCAGAAAACACACTAGCTAGAAAGGGGCTCCATTAAGACCTGTGGCCATGTCATGTCACCCCCCTCCCTTCCTGTGCCTGGTGGCTCAACTTTTAACCTTTGTGGGACCCTTGGAGTGTGTGTGAGTGCTAACGACATGGCATACACCATCCTGCAACCCCACTCCCACAGGCCCAAGCCCTGCAACATCCTTTTGGGGAAGCTGGCAGGAAGGGGGCTCACTCTTGAGAGCTTTGGTGAGGATTTCCAGAGCTTCAGTCTCCATGACTTCCATCAGGGGCAGAGGCAGCTGGAAAAGCAGTGAGGAGGAGGTTCAGGCATCTGGGAACCCCAATTCTGCCCACAGGTGAAATGCTCTACCAGATCCCTACAGCCCAAGACCTCCAATCAGCCTGTCTGTCCCTCTGTTCTGCCGGCCACCCCTACCCTTTTGTTGCTGCCAGCCCATTCCCCACCCACTAACACCTCCTCCCAAGTATCCCTGGGCCCTTCCAACCCTGTTCTGCTGCTCTGCCCAGTAGGCTCGATGGGGTATGTGCTTGGACAGGCTGATTACTGATGCCGAAGAAGACTTTTCTGGAAGAAGAGAAAAGAGGGGTCAGTTATCTGCAGGCTCTTGGGTCTTCCTGGAGCAGAGGAGATATGTGGGTAGGCCTGTGGTGGGAGGGCATTCAGAGAGCAGATCCATGTGCTGCCTTAGTTGGAGGAAGTATGGGATGATGGTTACAATCTCGGACTTTAGAGTTCCTGCCACCTGGGTTCCAGTTCTGACTGCCCCACTATGAGACTTAGGGCCAGGAACTGACACTTTCTGACTCTCAATTTCTTCGTCTGTAAAGTGGGGTCATAAGAATAGCCTCATATGGTAGGTTTTTGGGGTTTTTTGTTTTTACTACTGAGAATTGAGCCTATGGCCTTGCATATGCTAGGCTCCAGTCCAGAACAGCCTCTTACGAAAGTTGTGAAGTTTAAAGTGACCACCCAAGGAATCCCTGTGCCTGACACATAACAAGTGCACAATATATGCCAATTGCTATGTCATTATCAATTCCAGTTCTCTAAAGAAGGTGGAGAGGGGAAGAGGCAGAGAGGGTGGGATGCATGTTCCAAACAGTGCCCAGCATCCAGTGGTAGGTGCTTAAAAATTATAGCCAAGTCAGGTGTGGTGGTGCACTCCTGTAATCCCAGCACTGGGAAGGCTGAGGCGGGAGGATCCTGGGAAGTTCCAGGCCAGCCTGGGACAAGTGGAGAGGCCCTGTCTCAAAAAAAAAAGTAACCAACGAGAGACAGAGACCTCTGCAACCAGCACAAGTCCTCAGAGCCAGGCCCAGTGGCTCATGCCTGTTATCCCAGCTACTCAAGGAGGCAGAGATCACAGTTTGAAGCCAGCCTGGGCAAATAATTTGAGAGACCCTATCTTGAAAAAACTCATCACAATAAAGGGCTGGCAGAGTAGGCTCAAGGTGTAGGTCTTGAGTTCAAACCTGTACTGAAGAAAGAAAAAAAAAAAATCCCCAGACAGGACGTTAACAACAGGCCCCATGATTCCATTAAAAGCGCTGAGCTCTGGTAGCTCATGCCTGTAATTCTAACTACTGGAAATCAGGATGATCAGGGTTGCAGGCCAGCCCAGGCAAATAGTTTGTGAGACCCTACCTTAAAAATACCCAACACACACACAAAAAAGGCTGGTGGAGTGGCTCAAGTGGTTAACATACGTGAGACCCTGAATTCAAACCCCAGTACCGTTGACACAGGTTGAGGGCTACGGCAGAGCACTTACCTAGCACTCGTGAAGACCGGGGTTCGATCCTTGCCACCACAAAAATAAATAAACAACCGGATCCTACCAGCGTTCTCCTGTGGGTCTCCTGGGCTTAGTATGGTAGGATGCCTGCCCGGTAGGGGGCGCTCGAAGAATGTCTGGTTGAGTTAAAACTAGAAGGATTCGTGATAGCGCCCCCCTACCCCATCCCAGGAAATCCTAGTAACAGATCCTACTGGCTTCCCGCGCCACCCTGCCGCCGCCGCCCCGTTTTACAGAAGGGACATTGAGACTCTGGCCAGCCCCCTGTCCAGAGGACGCCCATGGCCTGGCGAGGCCTCACTGACCAGAATCGATCTTGAAGTCCTCGGACTCCTTTTCTGAATGCTGTTCCATCGAGCTCCTGGCGTGCAGTTCCAGGTCCAGCAAAGACTGCTCTTCCAGCTCCTCCGGCTTGGAGCTGATCCTTTCCTTCAGAGAAATGGACTGGCTCCTGCCCCCGCGCAGCTTGCCCAGGTCTCTGCCCTCCTCGTCGAAGTTCTCGCACACTTCGGCCAGCGACATGTTCACGTGCGGCTGCACCAGCGTGGCCTGGCTCCACAGATTCCGAATGTCGCCGTGCATGCCCGACCTGACCGAGCTTCTGCGACGCTCTGAAAACCTGGGCATCTCCTGTGGGCCACATACAACCGGGAAAGCCAAGGGTCGCAGGAAGCTGGGGGTCCTGAGCCGGGCTGAGTGGGGGACTCCGTCGGACGCGGGGACTTTGGGGAGTTGCCTGAAGCCCAGGCTGAGTGAGCGATTGCTCCCGGGGCCTGGGGAGGGGGTGGACCAAGGATGAACTGGACTTGGGGGCCAGAGTTCTTACTTTCAGAGACTTTTCCTCCATGATTCTGTCCCCAACGGACCCAGTCGCCACAGGCCTCGGGGCAAGGAGGAGGGGGGTCACGCTCCAGGAGGGGGGAGGGGCAGAGTGTCCTTCCGGAATGGCGATGGGGTCTCGAGCCGGGAGAGTTCAGACTACACTACACCTGATGTCATCACTCCTGCCCCATTCCTCCCAGCCCACCCCCAGTATAGGTGCCAAGGTTGGAGATCCCAGCCCCAACTAGGCTGGACCCTACCGGGTGGCCTCCAAGCAGAGGCAGAAACCTGAGCACAGCCGAATGGCCCGCGACTTGATCAACCTGAGTGCCTGGGGGTCATAGAGGCCAGCTGTGCCCCCGCGGTCGCCCGAGGAAAGCACTCCCACAACCCCTTGTGTCCCCCCGAGCGCGCACGCCCGCAGTGGTGCAGACTGTTTTCGTTTATTGATGCAGGCTTCGAGGCACAATCGTGAAGTGTTGTGAGGGACAATTGTCGCCCATCCAGGACAGCGAGACAGAAAGGCCTGGTGGGGGGTCTGCAAATGGCTGGAAGTGAGGAAGGGCCTAGGGGGCGAGAAGTGGCAGTTAAGCCATCTTTAGCCTCTTCCCCAAGCTTCAGCATCATCGAAAGAGGGCTCTTTGGTCAAACAAGCCAAGCATGCCGGGGAAACAGCAGGGACGGAGACCTTCTCGGGGCCTGGGCTGGGGATCCTGCCCCTACACCAGCACGCTTTCGTCTCGGGGACGCCCGGGACCCCGGGGCCGCGCAGGCTTCCTGGGGGGGTTGGGACGGCGGCGACCCCGCGGCGCGCGAGGCAGGGCGCAGCCGCGCTCGCTCTGCGTGTCCGAGGACTCGTCGATGAAAGCCAGATTCTCGCTGGGGTAGTCGAGGGCGGAGCCCGTGGGCGGGGAAGGCGTCTCGGCCTTTTCCGGGGGCGCGGGGGATTGCACCCTGCCCACTGGCGGCACTGGACACGGCGGTGGAGGCAGGAGTGGCCGCTCCTTCTCTGGCTGCGGCAGGGTGGTGGGCCCTGCTTTCTGGGTCACCCGCGCCGTCACGGTGCCAGTCCAGCTGGCAGCCTGCGCAGTGAGGCCACCCATCTGCACGGGGAGGAAAAGTAACCCTTAACCAGAAATCCTCCACCGATTGCAGGGCGCTGCCCCTTCACACATCCTGATGGCTGGAGGACGCAAGGGCTCCTTACCCCCGCGCTCTTTCCTCTCCTGCATCCGCACCTCAGCAACCCCTTCTGCAGGGGCCTCTCTAGAAAGGCCCAGTTTTATTTCAGCATTCCCTCAATGCCCTGACTTTTTTTTTTTTTTTGGTGGTCCTGGGGTTTGAACTCAGGACCTCACGCCCACTAGGCAGACGCTGTACGATTTGATTTGAACCCCAATCAGCCCCAATGCCCTGACATCTTTGCTGCCCCTATGAGGCCAGGTGCTTGCAGGAGGGCAGCAAAGATACAGATCGCCTGGTTACATGTGAATTTCAGAAAAATAAATACGATTTTTAGTGTATGTATGCCCCCATACAATATTTGGGGCATATTCTAAAATCTTGTTCATCTGAAATGCACATTTAACCGGACTTTCTGTATCTTTCTGTATCTTTCTCTTTTGCTAAATCTGGCAACCCTGATTTAGTTGTCTGCAGGGCACACATGGGATCTCATTCAGTCCCTGCCTCGAGGAGCCCACACCACCCAAGGGAGACAGGAGGTCAACCAGCGTGCATTAGTGCCACAGCGCAGGTGCACCTACCTCAGCTCGAGTGCGGCGAGACACCACTCGTAACCAGTTCCCAATGGTGGTGAGCACCGAGGCAAAGTAGGCCAGACCGAGCAGGATCCAGAACCACACCAGTGGCTGGTAGGCTGGAGGGTCCTGCTTGGGATCGGCACCTGACATCCCACCAGGGAAGGAGAAAAAGAAGCTGATGGTGGAATAAGTCGCTGCAGGTTAATGGCGGGTCTCTGCACTTCCACTTCGTTGAGAAAGCATACCCTCCCCACTTCCCTAGAGGAAAGGAGATGTGCTAGTGTGTGTGCATGCGTGCAAGAAGATGGGTGTGCATGAGTTGAAGGTGTGCGGGGTGGATAAGAGCATGCAAGAGGGAGGGCCCACGTGCAAGAATTGACACGTGTGAAGGGTGCACGGAATACATATATGAGCATGCAAGAAGGTAAGTGTGCATGCGGTGTGCATTCGTGGAAGAATATCATGGTGCATCCCACGTGGAATTTGGAGGGAGAGATGAGAGTGCAGAGTAGATAGGGAAGTGTGGCGCCTCACCGGCCACATAATCGCCAAAGCCCACGGTGGTGAGTGTCACTATGACAAAGTAGATAGCCTCCAACTGGCTCCATTCCTCCATGTAGCAGAACACGAATGTGGGAGTGAGGACAAAGAGCAGGCAGCCGATGAGCAGGAAGAGCATTGCAGAGAGCACTCGCACCAGCTCTGGTGGCACGTGCCACTTCTGCGGGAAGGAGCAGTAGGCAGGACCACGGAGTCACTAACAACCTCCACTCCCATTCTCTCCCCAACCCTGCAAGAGACATGGAGCAGCTCACCAGGAAGATTGCTTCGATGTGACCAATGCCATGGCGCAGAGAGGAGCCCAGCCGGTCCCCGACCCCTGCCAGCAGGATCCCAAACAGTGGGATCCCCACCAGTGCATAAAAGATGCAGAAGATGCGCCCTGCATCTGTTTGCAGGGCCACGTTGCCATAGCCTGGTCAAAGGGGTGGGGCAGGAAGTCTAGGCACCACACATCTGGCAACCCTACCTCTCCACCTTCCCCCATAAGGAAACTCCTTGCCCTCTTCCCCCCTCCACATGTCCCATCTCCTCCCCCACCGATGGTAGTGATGATGGTTCCCGAGAAAAAGAAGGCGTTGCCCAGGTCCCAGGCTGAATGGCTGCTGTTATTGGTCGAGTTGGTTTCTGGGTTCGCACCCCCTCCCAAGGCTTCAGCCACCTCCTGCAGGACAAGGCGCAGAAGGAAGGAGAAACCTCAGTCCTTACCTACTGTCTGGGCCAACTCCCTGCCCCTCCAGCCTCTAGAGTGAGTCCCCCCTTTTCCCACCTCTCCCTTTCCCCTCCCACCCCTCCCCTCCCCATCCCACCTCTCCCCTTCCTCCTGCTCCCTGAGCAGGCAGTCAATCCCTCACAGCAGACACCACAGGCAAGTTCATGTGACCCCTCCATTATATTTTAGAAACATTGTATCATGTGTTCCCTAATTTCATACAGTAGATTTCTAATTTTGCTGTCCAGAACACAGATGCTGGGACAAGGTTCAAATCTTGGGGCTGTGTAACCTTGAACAAATTAACTGTGCCTCAGTTTCTGCATCTGTCAAGTGGGGCTGATTACAGCATCAACCTCATAGACGCACTGTGAAGGTAAAACTCTTACAAAAAGTAAGCACTGTGTGTTTGTTGGTGATTGTGCCCTGGTGCCTCATGACTTCCACTGCTCCACAGACCCCACCACTCCCGTGCCTTAGACAATCTACTGAAAGTTAGGGACCTTCCCTCCAGAAAGGTTTATAAACCATCAAACTTTGCAGCCAAATTTAGAATCTTCATGCATGTGTGCACATGTGTGTGCACCCCACTAACATCTAAGCCAAACCCAGTATTACAGAGTTTGTGCTCATATGGTTGAATGAATGAAGTGTCCATGTGTCTGCCCTTCTTGCCAGGGTGTAGATACCTGCAGATTTCTCTAATCCCTGTGCAGATTCCTCGAGGCAGGGTCTGTGTTTTGTTTTGTTTTTTTTTTTTTTGGCAGTATTGGGGCTTGAACTCAAGGTCTCACACTTGTTAGGCAGGTGCTCTACCTCTTGTGCCACTCCTCCAGCCTTTTTTTGTGATGGTATTTTAGAGGTAGGGTCTTATGAACTATTTGCCCTGTCTGCCTTTGAACTGCGACCCTCCTGATCTCTGCCTCCTGAATAGCTAGGATTACAGGTGTGAGCCACTGGTGCCTGGCTAGGGACTGTGGTTTTTGTTTGTTTGTTTGTTTGTTTGTTTTGTAGTACTGGGGTTTGAACTCAGGGCCTACATCTTGAGCCACTCCACCAACTCTTTTTTTTTTTACGATTTTTTTGTTTTTCGAGATAGGGTCTCTCGAACTATTTGCCTAGGCTGGCTGATCTCTGCCTCCTGCATAGCTAGGATTACAGGCATGAGCCACCAGTGCCCGGCCAGGGTCTGTGTTTTGAGAGTGTTTGCCCTAGCTGATGGGAGCTCAAAGCATAAGGAGGACACCACAAGAGGGACCCTTTCCCAGAGCACAAGGAAAATATCCCTAGGGGAGACTGAAACCCACTGCTTTCCCCCCTCACTGCAGTCCCCATTAGCAAGACCCACTCCACATTACTCTTCTTGAAGTGGCTGCTTCCTTCTATCTGCAGAATAGTCTAGATGGGACAACCCTGCATGCAAGTCCTTTTTCAAACCAGCCCCAACCTCTCTTTCCCCAGTCTTCTCTCTCCTGGGACTTTGATTTGGCACCCCAAGTTACAGCAACCTTTCCTCCCAAGAGCTTGAGATGGTTACATTTCCTCTAATAGTGAATTTTTTAATAAATGCATGGGTGAAAGAGCTGATTAAAAGTGATTTAATTTTTCTTTTGCAAGACATTTCCAATAATAAATTTCACTACTGGGGGAAAAAAATCCTTTGTCATCCTGTGTGTTCTAATTTCTGCTTCAAATGACTCGGCATCTGCTAACTCCAGGTTCTGCAAAACCTGCCTGAGCTCCAGCTTTGCCCATGGTGTACCTCTGCTTGGGGGGAGGGTCATTGATCCCCAATCTCTAAATTCTCTCCTTGTCACCTTACTCAATTCAATTGTTAGCTCTTCCTCAAAGCTCCTACATCTCCCTTGTCAACTCCAGCCCCCAGCCCAGGCCCAGCACACAGTGGGTGAAGAAGGAAGATACTCCCTTCTCACTGCAATTCACAGTGGTCTGCCTGTCCATGGGTCTGTCCCCTCAACTACAGGTGACATCCTCCAGGGCAGAGCCTACATCTGCTCTACTCCAATCTCCAACTGACACATTGCTCACAGCACATAGCAGTAACCCCCTCCCCCCGCCCAGCACTCAGTAGGTGCACAATTGCTGCGTGACTAACTCAGGAAGTGACTCTTACTGTGGAAGAGAAGTAAACAGCTGTCACGCACCCTTCCAGGTCCTGCCCCTCTTTTTCTTTTTCTTATACCAGGAATAAAGTATTTGCACCGTGAAAATAAAATAGGTCAGCTTCCCTCCTCTGCCCTATAGTCTGGCCACAAACACTCTCCTGCCAGGCTCTCTGAGCCTCCTGCTTTCTGAAAGTGTCAGAGACAATGTCAAGTTGCCTTTGATCCCACCCCACCCTCATCTCAACCCTGGGTCCTGCCACCTTGAGAATCAGTTGGAATGCTGAGGCTCCCACATCAACAGCCCCTCCCTCCACAAAGAACAGGCAGGGAACAAGGAGGGGCACTCTTCAGTAAAGAAAGAAATATTAATTTATTCAAGTTAAATCATAGTTTTTCCATGACAGTGACTCAAAAAGAGAATGCAACAGAAGAGCTCACCAACTGTACCCCAAAAGGCTGAAGCCCAGAGCTTTCCTTCGTGACTGCACGGAGGCTGGCCCCAAGTGTCTCAGGGAAGGCTGCCCCCCTCCCCAGTTGCCTGCCTGGTAAGCAAGTATCCTGTGGGGAAGGGCCCCCTAACATGGCATCCATGGTGACATGGACAGGAATGCTCTAAAACCATGTTACAGGCTCAAATGCACATCTGGGGGTGGAGGGGCATGCATGGTATTCTTGGACTTCACTAAGGCATCTGTGACTCCAAAAGTGTATAGGAGCCAGCATCAGTAGGGTTGCCAGCTTTAGCAAGTGCAGACACCGCCTGGGACGTACTTAGATTACGGCGCATGCGCTGCGTAGCTGACATGCCGTAGCTCATGTGTAACTGAGCATCCTGGTTTCTGTCTGGCAGCCTAATGGGGTGAGTTAGACCTGTGCGAATGTATCCGTGTATGTACTCTAGCCATTCATTCACTCACTTGTCCTTAATGCAGTCACCCTGGTACACATTCCAGGAGCACGACCCAGTGCCAGGCACAGCAAGGAAAACAAAAGACCCCATGGCCGCCATATTGAAAACATGGTAGATCCCAGCTCCTGCCCAGTCCTCAGGGATACGGGTTTGGGAGCAGCATCCAGAATAGGGCCCCACTGGGCAGCTGATGAAGGGGTTCTGTGTCTCACGCACCTTGATGAAGCTCCCAAGCGTCTGCTCGCTCACACATGGATGGGCCCTCAGGAAATTGTCTCGGATCTCCCCCAGCTTCCGCTGGGCCTGCTGCTCTTGGGGCTGCTCCAGAGCCTGGAACACCAAGGCCCCTGACACCAAGTACAGCAGGACCAGTGCCAGCAGGGCCAGCAGTGTGGTGCTACGCATGGCGCTGGATGGCCCAGCTCCACTGCCCACCAGGGGAGGTGGGGCAGGGGGTTCCTGGGGAGCAGTGGTCACTGCAGGCAGAACCAGGATGCGAGGGTCAATAGCGCCTAACCCCCCATACCCTCCTCCTCTATCCCCTACACACCCCAAGGCCTGTGGAGACCCCAGCATTACTGTCCATAGATGTGCCTCCTGCCTCCTAACACCCTCTGGCTAGACATCCAGTCCCCCCACCTCCAGTTTTCCTCTTACCTTCACTGCCTGGCCCTCAGCCCCTGTCCAGGGACTGCCTGGTGCGAGGAGGACACCCCAAAAAGAATGGAGGCCAGTAGGAGAAGGAAGAAGAAACTGAGCCTGCCTCGGGAAAGGCAGGATGAGGAGATGTGGGAGGTCTGAGGGGGGCGGGGGGTGGGCTTGGGGACCCGCTTTTGAGAAGGCTGAGGACAAGTGCAAAGGGAAAGCCCAGAGAGGCCGGGTCGTGCAGGGCGGGGACCGGGATGGTGGGTCGTCCATGGCTCGCCCACTGCAGCTGCAGCAGCAACCTCCTGGCATCTTGTTCCCCTCCAGCCTCTCTGGCTTCCCAGCTGTCTGAAACCGGCCTGGCGGGGATCCTTCAGAGTGCCCCCCCCCCCGCCGCGCCCCGATGGGCTTTCGAGGAACCCAGGGGCAGGTCCCCAGCACCATGCACTGGCGAGGCGGGGGGCCTAGAGAAGCTGGACGCGGGGATGCGGAGCGGGAAAGGCCGGACCCCTGCACAGCATCCCCCCGACAGGCTCAGCTCCCCGAGCGGCGGAAGGCACGGTGCACACACACACACCTGCACACACACTCACACGCCCTGACACGCTCCGCCACGCGAGGCACAAAGACCCGCGCGCCCACGCTCCGCCCTGCGGCTCCAGTGCCGCGCTGCCCAGGCTGCATGTACGCACTCACTGCACACGCGAACGGACCCGGGCACAGCAACCCCCATGGGCGTGCACCCAGAGGTCCACGTACACGTGTGCGCACTCCCACCAAGACCGCGGGGCCCGCGCGCAGGGCCCGCCACCCCAGCACGCTGCACGCCAGCGCTGGCTCCCACCGCCTCCCCCGCGTCCTCACGCCGACGCCTCGGAGCGTGACGGGCGGCCCGACGCGCGATCGCACCACTCCCAGAGGCGCCAACGGCGGGAGGTGGGTGCCCGGTCCAGCTGTTACCACCCCTCCTCCCCCGGGCGTCCGAGCCCCCCTAAGTCCTGTCCTCGTCCTCACGCTTGCCCCGCACTTACTGTCAGCCCCGCTGTGGCTGCGGCTGCGGCTGCGGCTGCTGTCCGGTCTCCCGCGCGGTGCCGCGCGGTGCCGGTGCCGATGCCGGCTGGGCCGCGGAGGCGGCGGCAGCAGCAGGGGCGGAGCGGGCGGCCGCCGGGCTGGGACCCCCCCCCTCCCGCCGCAAAAAGCCCCCCTCCTCCCGCATTTAACCCCTCCAGCTCTGTGCCTCCCTCCGGTGCCGCACCCTTGCCTCTGGCTCCCTGCTCCCTGCCTGGAGCCAAGCACTTTACCTGCCGACTCCTTTCTTGGCCAGCCAGGGGCACTGGGTGGCAGAGGAGCTGGACAAGAGTCACCACTGGGTCCAACCTTCTAGTCTGGGACCAAAGTCCAGCATGGTCAGTGGCAAAGCCCTGACCTGAGCATCAGCTGGCCCAGGTCTGCAGGCAGACACTACGCTCATCTCCTGGCATCTTCCAAGCCCATTATAAGATTGGGAAGGGCGCTCAGATCTCTGCCCTTGGGGACAGCCTAGCCCTGGGGCTCAGCACTTATGAGGGAGGGACCCCCTGGGGACAAGGGTGGGTGACATCTCCCTGAGGCCTCCTGGATTTGACCAATCTTGGGGGTTGGGACTCAGCTCTGGGAAATCACAGACAGAGCACCTCCTGCTCCTCTTCCTGTATCCCCAGCCTTTGGTCCTCACCTCTATGCCTAGGAGTCAGCAGAGGAGCCTGAGCTTGGAGCTGCCTGCCAATCCTAGCTGGAACTGTCAGCATTCTCTGCCAGTTGCCTGAACAGCCAAGGCCCATGTCCATCCCAAACAGCCCCTCCCTGCTCCTACCTACTTCTTTACAACCTCGGACCTCCCCCAAGACTCTTTTTCTAGCATCCTGGGGTCCTAGGTCCTCCTGCTGGTAAATGCTGTTAAACCTGGACTTTAGGGCTGAGCACCCCTGCCAGTAGGAGGCCCCGGGCAGGTTACCAACCTCTCTGGAGTTTCCCTGTCCCCACTTACAGAAAAAGGATGATTAATTATCACTTCGGGTGCTGTCGAGAGCATTTAAGAGGTCAGTGTTTATAAATGCTCAAAACAGGGCCTGGCACACACAATTAAGTGCCCTATAAATGTGAGCAACTTTCCTTTCAACGAAAAGTGATTGTCCAGCCTCAAGCTGATTCACTGGGAGTCTCGGGTGACTTCTCTGGAGGCCCTGCAGGCCAGGACCCAGGATGGTCCTTAAGCAAAGTGTTTCAAGGCAGACTCAGTTCTAGGTCCTGGAAGCCTGGAGGAGCTGAAATTGCCAGGCATGATGGCAGGAGTCAGAGGCTCAGATAAATGACTCCCAGCCAATCCATTGGGGTTCAACTGCCTAACAGCTACATAGTCACAGTGCTGTGGGGCCTAGGACACAGGTAGAGGTTTCTTGCCCAGAAGATGGAAAACTTTATAGGGCCCTGTATATGCTAGGCAAGTGATCTACCGCCAAGCCACAACCTTAGCCCTGGAGACATGGTCTCACATGCCTACAGTCCTAGCTGTTGGTGCTGAGGCTGAGACAGAAGCGTTGCTTGAGCCTAGGTACTCAGGGCCAGCCTGGGCAACACAGTGAAACTCTCTTTTTTTGGTGCTGGGACTGGGTTTGAACTCAGGCTTCAACTGCTCTGGTTGTTTTAGAGATTGGGTGGAGTCTCTTCAATGATTTGCCCAGGCTGCTTTCCAATAGCGATCTCAGCCTCCTAAATAGCTAATTTTTAGCAAAATTATCTTTTTTTTTTTTTCTTGCAGTACTGGGGCTTGAACTCAGGCCTACACCTTGAGCCACTCCACCAACCCTTTTTCGTGATGGGTTTTTTTCGAGATAGGGTCTCCAGAATTATTTGCCCAGGACTTTGAACTGTGATCCCCTTGATCTCTGCCTCCTGAGTCACTGGGATTATAAGTGTGAGCCATCAGTGCCTGGCCAACAAAGTGATCTTGAAGAGAAAGTAGAAAACTGTTGTAAGAGAGGGCCTCTTCTGGGCCAGGAGAACTTAGGAACAGAGGCTCGTGTGTTCTTCTTGCCCTTGAAAACTGCAGGTCACCCACTGTCCCTGCCCGCCAGCTTTGATGAGGGAGAGGTCCCTGCCCAGCCCAGCAAGTCCACATGTCAAGGGCCAGCATCTGATCAGCCTAATGCCAGACAGGCCGAGAGGAACACAAAGCAGGTGAGTGACACACAGGTGAACAATCGAGGGGCACAGACACTGTTTATTAAGTGGCAGGCACAGGAGAGGTAGCTGGCTCCAGTGTGGAAGCAGAAGTGGCAGGTCATGCCAGGGTGCTGTGGGCATCTGGCAGCCAGGGCTGTGTCCCCCATCCTAGGGGAATGGGACAAGCTCACTACAACAGGAGCAGCAAAGGAGCCGACCAGAAGAGTGGGCGGCCATGGCCCCCAGAATCCTGGGCAAGAAGCGGCAGATAAACTTGGCACAGGGGCCTGGGGTAAGGGGGCCTGGGTGTTCTAAGGGGAGGGGAGGAGGGTCACGTCTGTGGGGTGGAGTAGAGGCTGTGGTGGTGGCCACCAGGTCCCGGCACCTGGGAGAAGAGCAGAGGCGTGGTCCTCGTCTGGCTACCCCCGCACCAGCCCGGCTCACGCCCGATGGCACCATACCAGCTGCCAGAGCCTAGGCTACCTGACATGCTGCAGGCAGAGAAGGGACAGGGTCAATCCCAGGCAGTGACTGGGGTCACATTCGTGAGAGTGGGGGCAGAAGGAGAGGCTTAGAACAGATACCCTGTGACTCAGACCTCCTGGGTCCAGGGCAAACTGCCTCCTAAGACAAGGCTGGGGGCTTTAGTAGTGAGAACCCAGAGGGGAACCTCGCCTAGAAAAGATGAGAAAAAACAAAGGCCCTGATGGGGGTCCACGACCTGGTTCTTTTTTTTTTTTTTCCCAATACTGGAGCTGGAGATTGAACCCAGGGCCTCCCATTTATAAGCAAGACCCCCAGTTAAGATCTGACTCTTGGTTCCTACTACTGTCAACAGAGCAAGATAGGAGCTCAGGGCTGCTCATGCCAGGTAGGGATTCCTACCTGGTACTCTCACTCCGGCTGTGATTCCAGGAGCAGGCCTCCTCCTCACAGTGCCCCGCCCGGTCAAAGAAGTAGGAACGGGAACCAAAGACCTGCCCACTGAGGATGCGGCTGGTGCTCTAGGGGGGACAGTCACTGCCACTGATGCTTTCCACCCCCAAATGTCCCCAGATCCCACTCCCAGGGTCTATCCTTCTCCACCAGCCCCATAGAGCATGGTGGAGGCCCTACCAGGTCCTGTGGGGGCCGGTGCACCCGGAAGAAGCCCACCAGCAGGGTGGTGGGCAGCAGTTCCCACACAAAGAGGATGAGGCCAAACACCAGGTAGCCTTTGTTTCCCAGGTCATTGACCAGGTCCGCCTGTGGGAAGGCAGGAACTTGTACCAGTCTGCGGTTATGCCAGAAGAACACCAGCCAGGCAGCATGGCTACTAAAGTAGCAGACATGCTGAATGCCCACCTGATCAGATACGTTGTACCAGTCGTAATCGAAGGCATCCAGCCGGCTCCGGGGTGCCAAAGCCAGGGCCGCCAGGTTGTAGCAGGCCCGGCTGGCATAGAGCAGGACCATGGCGCCCCCCATGGCAGCCGCCTGGCACACACTTGTCCCCTGGCACAGATGACAACAGAGGTCCCTCAGGGAGAAGAGAGGCTTCCCAACTTCCTCTATACCTAAAGACAGCTGCTCAAAGATCCCCAAAGACACCTGGGCATCAGGGCTTGTGCTCTACCTTGGCCTCCAGGTAGATGCTAGTGGAAGGAGCCCGACGTGCAACGAGACAAAGGCAGGCAGCAAGAGAGAGGGCGCAGATGACGAAGAGGGAGTCGCTCACCAGGACTCGCACCAGCAGTAGGGCCCAGGGCTGTGTCCGGCGCCGGCGGGACAGCACAGCACACAGCACATTCACCAGCAGAAAGAGCAGCGAGGCCCCCACGAAGGCCCCTCGGACCGCCAGCCTGCAGCCCATAGCACAATCAGCCCCAGACTATCCACTGCCCTTGACACTCACCGACCACCCTGCCTCCCCTGTGAGAGCCCTGTAACAGTTAAAACTCAGACCATCCAGTCTGAACCCTACTCTTCCAGTTTTACAGATGGGGAAACTGAGGCCCAAAGAGGTGAGAAGATGACTGACCATTAAGGCAAGTTGGAAAGAGCCCAGATCAGGAGCCAAAAATCTGGGGCTGAGCCTTGACTCTGCCTCCTGCTAGCTCTGTGACCTTGAACACGCTTTACCTCGCTGGGCCTCGGTTTCTTCATTTCTCAAATGAGAAAAAGAACAGCCTCTCGGGATATTTGTGAAAGCTCTTTATCAACGGGAAGACACTGTGCAAATGGCAGGGATTCTGCAGCCCAAGGTCACCCAGCATGTAGCTGGGCTTTGTAAGGTCGATGACACTGATACCCCTTCCCCTCATAGCACCTCCACTGTTTCCATTCCTGGTGCCCCTCATATAGGCAACGGCTTGACAGTGCCATCTGCCCTGGTGCTCTGCTTTTCCAAGTTCTTTCACAAACATTCCCTGAGTTGTCCTTGTCTCAGCCTTCAAGGTGGGCTGCTCCCTGCCCCCAATCTTGGGGCTGAACCCATTGGTGTCCCAAGTACTTACAAGCCTCGGCTCATCTCTGGCCGACGCTTCGCCTTGGCCTTGAACACCACCTGGGAGCAGAGATGCCCATCACTCCTGTGGGCCCTTGGGCTTGACCTCCCACCCCTACCCATTACCACGGTTACCTGGGCAAAGTAGAGGTTCATAAGCGTCAGTGTGAAGAACTGCAGGCAGACAGGGCAGCAGTAGAGAAGCCAAAAGGGCAAGGGCCCCAGGCGGTTGGCCCGGGGAGTATCTCGGAAGTAGAAGGAGAAGAGGGTGGTACGCAAGGCGGCCCAGAGCAGACAGAGTGCCAGGAACACCGTCTGATAGCTGAGACGCTTGTGCCCATACAGAAGCACCAGCCAGAGCTGGGCATAGACAGAGAAGAAGAGCAGGGCATACAGGGTGGTGTAGGCTGCAGTCAGCCCCAGGGTCACCGTAGGTGGCAGCGCAGGCACCAGCCCCGCAGCAGGCACCAGGCCAGACAGGTTACTCTCCATGTCAGGGAGAGAGGCCTGAATCCCAAAGACAAGAGATGGAGGGCTGGCCAGGGGCCAGGGAAATAAATACGGAGGGATGGGAATTGCAGGACGCAGTGACAGAGATGGGGACTCAGGAAGAAAGAAGTTAGGGCTGCCGGCCCTTTCTCCTCAACAGAGACCCTTGTTCTTCTTGCCGGGCATGGGTAGCCTGGGCCCTGGGTCCTCACTGTGGGATATGGAAGGGCAGTCTTTCCTCTCCAGGGCAGATGGGGTGGGGATTGGGGGTGTCTGTCCCTGGGCCAGCCCCAGAGCCACGGGGATGAGGGGATGCAGAGGCGGAGGAGTCCCTGGCCTTGTCGCTCGTGTCAGCCTGGCAGGAGGGGGAGAGCCGGCCGATGCCCGTTATCTTAGGGCAGCGGCCGCTGCGGGGGCGCCCAACGCCCCGCTCTCCCCCTCCCCAAGATTGGGGGCTCTTTCCCCTCCAATAATCCAGCTGGGGGGGCTCTTCCTGTCCTCGAAATTCCAGATGTTGCCTCCACCTCCCCCCGCGTCCGCTCTCAGCCGCGGGGGTGCAGAAGGACGTCGAAGCCCAGTCCTCAGGCCGCCGCTGGGGAAGCGGGGTCCGGTCGCTGGGACGCCGGGTTCCAGCTCCCCGGCTCCCGCTGCTCCGCCCCCTCCTGCGCCTGCGCGGGCGCCTTTCACTACGGAAATTGCGCAGGGGGCCGGTCCCGGCTCCGTAGTCCCGCGCCGCGCCCGTCGTGAAGCGGTTCGAGAATCGGCGTGAGGTGCGCTGATGACGGGCGCCCGGGGTTACCGGAGGCAGCAGGCGGCCGAGACTCGGAGGTCGCGCCGCATCCAATGAGCGCACGGGTGGGCGATGCCCTGGGCCACCGGCCCTTGCTTATTTGGGGGACCACCAATTCCCATGCTTAGATTCCCACACCCACATCGGGATCGGCGCGCCCGGCTGGGGACGGCAACCACTTCCCTTCACTGGGTGTCTGAAGGAAACTTCCGCCCATAGTCAAGATGGTCTCCGAGCCCCGCCTCGCCCCCCCCACCACGGCCCCAGACTAGTCCCAGGGGGTGCCCGAAGCCCCCAACGGGCCTGCCCGCCCCACGCCCCGTCCAGCCGCCGCTTGAGCTCACCTGCCGCGCCGCCTGCCGGGCGCAGAGCCCGGGAGAGCCCTAGGGTTCGCCCTCACGGGGGCCCCTGTCCCTTCTCCCGCGCCCAAGCAGTCATCCTGCAGGGAGGAGACGCCCTCTTATCTTAAGTACTCCCGAGGTGGCGCGGGGAGGTGCCCTTATGCGGGCAGCCCGAGGCCTCCCCGCCCGGGAGGAGGAGGAGGGAGCGGGATTTCCCCACCGCTCACTCGGTGCTGGCGGAACAGTAACAGTCGCAACAATAATTGTATCCCACAGCCAAGCTTCAATTACGGCTTTACAAAGTGCTTGCACCCACAATAGTCACCGCTGTTTACAAAGTTTCCATCGGTCCCCGAGGGAAGTGTCGTTATTCCCCATTTTATGGAGGAGGGGGAGGGAAAGTGAGGCTCAGAGGAGGTGAAGGACTTGTTAGCAGAAGCGGGCCTCCTGGTTCCAAATGGGGACCCCAGAGAACCCCTAGCCGGCTTGCAAATAATCCCGGGCGTCAGGAAGTCGGAGAGGGACGTTTGGAGACTGGGGAGGGGCATGTCGGTGGCTGGGGTGGTGCCTGACCTGGAGTGGCCCCGCCTCCGGGTCTACCCGGGATTCATTTCGAGAACTGATTGGGCCCGGTCTGTGACAGTTCTCGTTGCTCAGGAAACTAGGGCCGGGCGCCCTTAGTACTGGAGCGAGGCGGCGGGCCCGGGTCAGGGGCCTCGAGATCGGGCTTGGGGTAAGATCTGTGCGCCATCACCACGGACGGGCCAGGGCCTAGGCAGGTGCCTGGTGGGAGATTTAGGTCCTGGGCGGATAACCTAAGCTCCTTGGCAGGCCAGACACAGCAGAGAGCCCAGAAGACCAGCGGGCTTGGGGACTCGAGGGTAGGAGAGGGAACCAGGGTACTACCTGTCCCCTGCCCACGGCCACGGTTCATCCCAGCTGCACCCTGACTACCTATCATCTTCAACCCACAGCCCAGAGTATGTTCCAGATCCCAGAGTTTGAGCCCAGTGAGCAGGAAGACTCCAGCTCTGCAGACAGGGGCCTGGGCCCCAGCCCCACAGGGGACCGGCCAGGCCCCCGCCAGGCCCCAGGCCTCCTGGGGGACACCAGTTACCAGCAGGGGCAGCCAACCAGCAGCAGCCACCATGGAGGTAGGTTCCACACCACTATCACCACCTGCCTGTCTACCTTGCCTGCAACCCAGTCTCCCTGCACCCCAGCTGCCTCCACCCTCTGAGGGCTTCGGGGATGCCTCCAGCCTTTCAACCTTAGTTTCCTCTTCTGCAAATCAGACTATCACCACCGTTGTAGGAATGCTGGGTTAATTTACAGGAATATATAGGAAGCACTTGATTATAGAGCTAGTTAGTGCTTGTAAATGCTGAAAAAAGGTACCTGGTGGCCGGGACAAGAATCAGGGAGGCAGGCAGTGATCCAGAATGGGAAATGACTTGCCTAAGGACACACGTGCTAGGTGTGTCCGAGAAGAGCTAGAAGACTCCTCTATCCTTGTCCCAGAGTACCTGCCCTCCCTGGGGTATCTGCTCTCCCCAGGGTACTTGGGATTGGGTCTGCCAGGTGTGGCTCACCCACAGTGGAGCTGTCCTTGCCTGCTGAGGGGTAGGTGACCTAGGGTGATGGACAGTGTCTCCCTGTGTGGGAGTTGGGAAGCATACGTATCAAGATGGAAGGATAGGGACTGGAGGGCTCAGGCCTTGGCACCTGGATTAACCACAGAGACCTGAAAGCAAAATCAGGTCATTTCACTGGCCTGCTGACCTTAAATAAATCCCCTCCCCTTTCAGAACTGTGATTGTTTAGAAGTCTTGCACACTTCTTTTAGCATCCAGATTTCACCCTTGCTGTTTTTCTGCTCACAACCCCCACCTGTTCTTCACTCCACCTGGCTGTCCCTCCCCATCGTCAGGGCTCACTTCCTCTCAACCTAACGCTGAGTGCTTAATATGAACCACATGCAAATCTAGTGTGTGCATGTGGCCATAAACAAAGGAACACAAACATACAGAATGCCTCTCAAGATGGTATGAGCTGGAGGTCAGTGTGCCATGGAGGGGAAAGAGAATTGGAGCCCTGGGGGCTGGTGGCATGACTGGGGACTGTGGTGAGGTGGTCAGGCCCGCCTTACCTAAGAAGCAGTCTTGGAGCCAAGGTTAGCCCTCTGAGGGGTGAACTGCCTGACTGAGCCTGTGCGAAGAGTTGCAAGCAAAGGGAGAGGGCTGTGGCTGTAGCTCAAGTGGTAGAGCGCCTGCCTAGCAAGCGCAAGGCCCTGAGTTCAAATCCCCAGTATCAC